TGCAAACAAGCCTGAATGGTCCCCAGGACTATATACAACTGAAAACTCACACCCCAGAAGTGACTCGAACCCATACTCCCACAACTGGTATGTACAGGGACGCCTTAATCCGCTTGACCATCACGACCGGACATAAGGATAGCCTCGGCTATCACTTCCTTATGTCCGGTCGTGATGGTCAAGCGGATTAAGGCGTCCCTGTACATACCAGTTGTGGGAGTATGGGTTCGAGTCACTTCTGGGGTGTGTGTTTTCAGTTATATATATATACATATATATACATATATATATATACATATATATACATATATATATATATATATATACATATATATATATATATATATATACATATATATATATACATATATATACATATATATATATATATATATATATATATATATATATATATATACATATATATATATACATATATATACATATATATATATATATATACATATATATATATATATATATATATATATATATATATATATATATATATATATATATATATATATATATATATATATATATATATATATACATATATACATATATATATACATATATATATATATATATATATATATATATATATATATATATATATATATATATATATATATATATATATATATATATATAATATGCAGTGACTTCTTCACCTTTTTAAAGTCTAATAAGGCATTGCTGAAACAACTCAGATCTACAGAAAAAATATGCACGGGCACAGCAAATCATAGACAGAGTGGGGGAAGATTGTGACTATAGGAGCTCAAGATGATCAGCCTGATGTAAAGGTAATTTAGTTGCATTTTTCTTGTCTTTTTTTCGAAATAATTCTGTAATATGCTTGTTTTCCATTATAATGGTAATTATATTAAAAAAACAAAACTTGTGATCCAGTGCAACAAATATATATATATATTTGTTGGTAGATTTAGATTTTTTGTTTGCGGATTTGGATTTTTTTTGGGGTAGATTATGATTTTTTTTTCTTGGTTTTTATTTTTTTTGGCGAGGGGGGGGGGTGGAATGTTTTGTTGGCGGATTCTGTTTTTTTTTTGGCGGATTTGGAATTTCTTTGTTGGCGGATTTGGATATGTTTTCCTAATCCATTACTTGCGTAAACAAACGATGTTTTAAGTTACAGGCACAGGAGAGGGCAAGGTTGTCCCATTGACTTTAGTAGTAACGCGGTGTGGCTGAAAGTGTGGTGGGTTGTTCTAGGCAGCAATGTTAGCAAGAGCCTGGTAGCTTGGTGGTGGTAGTTAGGATGAGTTCTGGTAGTTCTTAGCGATTGTTCGTGGCAGTAATTATGCTAAGGTTGTTTGTACTGCTGTTCAGCAGTAAAAGTGCGTTGTTAATAGTCAGTGGGGAGGGGGGGGGGGACTGTTAGAAATATGGGGAACTGTTTGTAATATGGATGACTGTTAATAGTAGAGAAGGGGGAAACAGCAAACAACCTGCAACACCTTCAGGTGTTTCAGGTATTGTGAAGGGCTCAGTATTTTTGGAGCAACATTTCCTGTAATGTATTCACCGACCCGGTGAAGTAGTGACGTCACAGACTGGTTCCTGCTCGAGTGAGCCGAGAATATAGCACAACACATGATTTTCTCCGAATGACGTCATCTGTTGTTGTTGTTTAAGATTCAGCTACTGAGAACAAAAAGTTCTAAGTAGCACGGGCTATGGAGAGCCCGTAGTGGACTCACCTGGCACAGGAGCGGGGCTGATGTGTGTGTGGACGTCATCTGATTGGGCGGTAAACATGTATGGGCGGAACGTGTTGGCTTCTGTTAAAAATTGCCCGATATCGTGCAGCAATTACGATTTTTTTAGTTATTAAAATATATAATAATGTTTTTCCTGTATCTTCTACGATAATATAAGCAGTTATTTTAATTGATTATATTATCAATGGAACTTTCGTTCTTAGTGGGTAGTTCTGATCACTGACTCAAAAAAAAAAAGAGGCAGAATATTCGAAGAAATTGCAGGGGTTTGTCGTAACATTTAATAACAAGTATATGGAAGAAGAAGTTGGCAAGTGCTTATAGTGTCACCTTTCTGCTACCAAATTAAAAAAAATGTCAGAAACGTTTTATTTGCCGAGTGGGTCTCTCTAGTGTAGTTGGTTTCGTTCTCGGCTTTCACTCGAGAATTCAGTTTTCGGTTCCCGGGCAGGACAGAAATGATTGGTCACGTTTCCTTTCACCTAATAACTCTGTTCATCTAGGAATAAATAGGAACCCGGGAGTTCGTCAACTGTTCTGTGGTTGCATCTTTGGGAAGGTAGGACACACACACGCTGTTGTGGGGGCTGGTGGCTGAGCGGACAGCACGCTGGACGCGTGATCCTGTGGTCCCGGGTTCGATTCCGGGCGCGGGCGAGAAACAATGGGCAGAGTTTCTTTCACCCTAATGCCCCTGTTACCCAGCAGTAAAAATAGGTACCTGGGAGTTAGTCAGCTGTCACGGGCTGCTTCCTGGGGTGTGTGGTATGGGGGGAAAAAAGTAGATAGTAACAGTTGATTGACAGTTGACAGGCGGGCCGAAAGAGCAGAGCTCAACCCCCACAAGCACAACTAGGTGAATACACACACACACACACGCACACGCACACACACACGCGCGCGCGCGCACACACGCACACACCCAAACACTTTACGCCTGTATCGAGGTCCGATCAAGGATGCAACCCCCCTCAAGAGTTTCCTAACACTCGAGTACCTATATTTACTACAAAGTGAACAGATCCATTAGGTGAAAAGAAACATGCCTAACCATTGCCGTCACACCCGGGAATCTGACCCGGGTGTGAAGTCGAAGACGAAACCAACTATACCACTAGTACCTACAAGTCCCAAGCAAACTACTCGCAGTGTAGGTAACTTTTGTTAAGACACCGGAGCGTCGTTACTCAGCCAGTCAGCATTCCGAGAAATTGTTGGCGTGTTAATTATTCCAGACTGAAGGCCCAGCATGTATGTATTATTATTACGTATTTCTGTCCAGTGCCGAGGTCCTTTTCTTGTATTTTTTTGTATATTTGTATTTGTATCTTGTAGTGCTTGAATGTACTCAAGCTTAAATGTAAAGTCGGGGGGGGGGGGGGGTAGAAATAGCTTAAGCTACTCTATCCCTTTGAGATGTATTTTATGTCTCAATAAACGTACTTGAATTTGAATGTAAAGTCATTTTGACTTACAGGATTGTTTCTATTATAGTTGGATGCTTAAGTTCTTCCCTCATTTTGATGATTCGTGTGCATCGTCCCAGTGGGCAGAAAGCCAAGAGTAACGTTAATTCAACCTTGATTGAACGTTGTACATTCTACAATAATATAGATTCAACATTGAATTTACGTTAGTCTTTGATACAGGCCACTGGGTCAGGCACCCAGAATCACCACCACCACCACCTCTTGCTTTCATTTTACACTACTTTCAGTTTTCTTCAGTGCTTGAGAGGGGTGGGGGGAGGGAAGGGAACTATCAAGAGAAAGCGACAAGCCATTACGACTATTATAGCACTGGGAAGGGGTCAGGATAAGGATTTGGGATGGGACGGGGGGGTTAGGAATGGTGCCCAACCACTTGGACGGTCGGGGATTGAACGCCGACCTGCATGAAGGGAGACCGTCGCTCTACCGTCCAGCCCAAGTGGTTGGGCTGGAGGTTAATTAAGTGCAAAGTGTGATAAATATAACGTTGATAAAAATATTTCTATCAATGAGTGTTTTGGGGGGTTACAATAATTGTTTGAGCCTATTATGTAGGTGGCTTACAATGTTACTGTTGATAACTACTCGCAGGTATTTGTGGGACCCGAGGCTTTGGCTCCCATAACTGTACGAGTGGTGGTACTCCCTTCTACACGTGTGTATTATTGATTACAGTAATATTATTATAAATTATTATTATAGCGCGTCATTATGCATATATATTATATGTATTTAATTGTGTATATATATGTATATAATTGTATATATGTATATAATTGTGAATATATATGTATGTAATTGTGCATATATATATTATAGGATATTAAAGGTAAATTAGGATGGAATTTTTTTATTTAGACATCGTAAAGGGGATGAACATATGGTTAAAGGGATGAAGGGAAAGTGGTGAAGAGTAAAGATAGTGAAAGATAGAACAGCTGATGAATGGTAGGGAGCTTGGTGAATAGTAGGGAAGATGGTGACGGGAGGGAAAGAAAGAGATGAGAGGGAATGTTTGGTAGAGATGGGATTGTGGAAGGTGAGAGGGGGGGGAGACCCCGGGCACTGCCTGGTATAACCTCATAGTGATGCAGTATTGCTGTAATGAAACAAGAACTTAAGTTTGTCCACTGAAGACAAACTTCTGAAGACATAGTTGACGAACATAGTTTGTCCACTATGTTCGTCAGAAAACATAATGGTATGCCATATATTGTCGGGAGGGGGGGGAGGAAGCCACCCCTTCCCACCAGACCGAGGGTGAGGCGGTCACCTGTCTGGTATCTTGTGAGACCCATCAGTGCTTAACCAGACTTCTAGAGTGACGCTCACAGAATCCAGAAGATACTATCATCTTGCAAAAAAAATGTATTGGCTAAATATACTATATAGGCCTACACGTTAATGGTAACGTTGTCCATTGCATTTTTTGCAAATAAACCATAATTATTAATATATAGTTTAACCTCGTTTGCTTAGTTATATACCTTAATTAAAAGTAAGATTACATGATTAAATTACATACACGGAGGTGAAAGGTGTACCCTACTGGCTGCTTGATGGTGTTTACAGTGAAAGTTTACATCAGTTCTGGACTGTGTTCAGAACTAGGAGTACTATATACTTGCTGGTTGGACAGTGTTAAGGTACTGTGGTGGCCTTAATAACCCTCCAGAGGTTGATAGGCCAAGAGCCCAACAACACACCAAAGACTATACATTTTATGCTGACGGTACGCGAAATAAATGAATGCAAAAATTACCTGTTTTAAACAGGAAGCGTTTAATGGTTTGAAGTAGCAGAGGAGGACAAGGGCTGCAGCAGTGACGGCGACGACCGTCAGTATGAGAATACGGTTGGCTTGTGTGGTGTAGATGCCCACTATAATCACTGCACCAATCACCATCATCACACTTAGAGCTCCAATCAACCCCCCTATCACAAGCCGCAACACATCTGTTCTTGATAGCAGTGTCTGCTGCGGGTCTGCTTCTGTCGGCATATTGTTAGCAATGGGAATTCTCACGGAAAACATGTATTGTGATCTTAAGAGTGGCACTTGAGCAGAGGTACTGGGGGTCACCTGCTTGGATCCTGCATCACCACTGTCAAAGCAAGTTGTGAGGCTCGCGAAGGAGCGCAGGCCACGGGACCTTCCCGAACTGACTTCTTAATGCTCAACACGTACTCTTGCTGCAGAATATCTTATTTTCTCTCTCTCTCTTACAGTGAGAATCTCTCTCTCTCTCTTCCTCCCCCTCCCCCCCCCTTGTGATCCCACCAACTCTTGCAGCACTGCATGAGTAAGCTACTATTACAGCTTTTATAAAGTCATCCGGCACATTAATTCCCCGCGTTCCAAGAATGAATATATTTTCTGCAATTATTCTAGACTAAAGGCAGCTGTTTTACTTCCCGTTATCTGCAATTAACAATATGTACCGCATACCCATCTTGTGAGTGGTAGGTTATAGTGCACTCCATTCCCCATTCTATGAGTGGAAGTTTATTGTACGTCTCATACCCATCTTTTGAGCAGCAGTTTAGTGTGCACTCTTTTTACCAGTATTAAATTTAAAATTGCACCATTTTCAAATGAAATATTTTAACTACAGCATTATATTGATCTGATTGACTACCGTCAATATAACTGCAGCTTGTTCAGTGTGCACCTAGTATTCATTCTGAGCCGTAGTACAGTACCCCCATACTAATTCTGTATACTTGTAGTATACCTGTAGTCGATTTCAAGATTTCAACTGTCAGAGCCAGGCTTCTCTGATGACTGGATTAGAGCGGATGTTGCTTGCAACGGCCAGCAAGCCCTCATTTCCAGTATACGACACTTCCTGCAGAAACTTGCCCAGTTGCCTCCTAACTTACATTCTTTCGAACTGCCAATGTTTATTTGATGGAAGGAGGTTGAAGAGCTTTAAGTGGGCCTCTTATGTTCATTCATTGTTGTCCGATTGTCTCTGACATCTCTACTCGTAGCTGCATCTTCATTCATAACTGGATCTACACACACACACAGCTGGGTCTACTCACATAATGGGTCTTCACTCATAACTAGGTCTACTCATAATGGGTCTTCACTCATGATGGGTCTCCACTCATGATGGGTCTCCACTCATAACTGGGTCTGCACTCATAACTGGGTCTATACTTATAACTGGGTTTTCACTCATAAATGGGTCTACTCATAATGAGTCTGCACTCATAACTGGGTCTACACTGATAACTGGGTTGAATCTGCATTTCCTACTATATTTTATTGTGCATATTTGGGACCAAAATGTTCTAATATCTTCCATGAATATATTATTTGCTTTATCTCTCACGAGTTTTCCCACCCCCTCCCCTCAAGAGTACCAGCACATTCTGAGTGTTTTTGACCGGTCTTAATACTACACAGTCTTCCCAGCTTGGGTGCCTTCTTTTGATAAGTACTTTAAACGGGCTCGGTGACTTGTGTGTTTTACGATTCTTTACGGTGTTTTATCTAGCCAAGTCTAAGATGCACCAGGCATCTGAGACCCACTCAGCAAGCTTAAGAAATACTGCTGGAACAAGTGGATGTTTTAGTATTTTTTTTAATGTTCCTGCAAGAAGCGCTAGACCAACTGGGTTGTAATGGATATGAGGGCCTCCAGGCCACTCCAAGCATAAAGTCTGTTGGACCATGTTATTGCAAATCAAGCCTGGCCTGGAGGTAGAACTACCACCAGAACCCATTCCAGGTATGCTGTCGAGATCACCCAGGGGTCCCAATCAGTCTGCCTTCTCCCTCACTCACCTGGTCTCACCCTCAGGACACTGTACCTCTAACGAAGTTCATCTTCAGATTAATGCTTAAGTAGAGTGGTATTGGTTATTCTTGGACCATTAGTGGTATTGCATGTCCTGGCTTAATTATTTTGCTGCAACAATGGGACAGGGTTCTTGTCTAGTAGTTGGCTTATGTTATCCCTGACCCACAAAAGATGATCTGCTCCAAAGGATTTGGGTTCTTCCACTATGAGCAGTCTTCACACTGCTAAGTAGCAGGCAGGACTTGATCTCTATTGCAAGGCCTGTCATGAGTGTAGTAATCAGCTATTTTAACGTAATGCTATCATACCTAGTCTTGCCTTTGGAGAATGTTGGGACTTTGCACTTTTGCCGAGGGTGCATTTGGGTTCTGTGATTCTTGTTCATGGCTGCCTAAACCATTATGCACCAGGTACTTATGGCTGGAATATGGGGGTTTATCCAGTAAAGTAAGTAATTATGAAAGGAAGGCATCAAACTGGGAAGGCTATGTAGCACCACCAAATGTGCAGAGTAATCATTGGGCACTAAATATCACCAAGGATGCCAATACGAGAACAGAAACGCATGAGGCGAAATATATCAAAAGTATCCGATTCACCAAGAATTCTATCGAGGAACAATTGAGCGCAAGGGATGGTCGGAAAGCAAGACACACGCTCGTCCTGGAAGTCAGGACATTCAACAAGAATGTGCACGACCGTAAGAGGAACAATGCAATTTGGACAAAAAGGACCAGGGCGGTGCTCCATTAAGTGACCGTGAGTTAAGCGTGTATGGCCAACATGTAACCTAGCCAGAGACGTTTCCCACCGCCGGTTACGGTAGTAGGAGGAAGGCCACAGGAACACACGACTCTTAATAGTACGCAGTTTGCTACCAGTAACAGAAGACCAACAACCCTGCCAATGGGCAAGGATGGAGGAATGAATAAATGGGTAAAAGTCAGAATAAGGAATACCTTTACGGGAGATGGGACAAGTGTGGATAGCTTCCTTAGCGGCAACATCCGCACACTCATTTAAAGACACCAACATGGCTGGGAACCCAGCAAAACTCTGCCGACTGAAATTTACTGGAGATAAGAAACAGCCAATGTTGAATCTCGATGACCACCGGGTGGATCAGATTAAAGGACCCCAAAGCCATGAGGGCACTAAGAGTCAACTACCACCACAAAGGAGGATTGACAACGAGAAAGCAGGAGATAAAGAGCATAGAGAATAACATAAAGTTCTGCTATGAAGATGCTAACCTCCGGAAGAAGGCGACACACATAAGTGTGGTCAGGAAAAACAACAGAGTAGCCCACACCATCAGCAGACTTAGACCCATCGGTGAAGATGGAAACAGAGTGGGAGTGTGAAGAAAAATGCTCAAGGAAAAGGCGTTTCAGAACTGTAGGAGGGGTAAAAGCTTTAGTGGTGCGGGTCAGGGAAATACAAAATTTGGGAAGGGGGACCCTCCACGGGGGGCAAGGACAGAACAATACGAGGAGAAACATTAGTAATACAAACCGAAAAAGAATCTTGTGAGACAAACGTACAGAAAGAGGAAGGTGGTGAAGGGGAACAGGAACTACAGGAGGGGTTATCTTGAGGTTATCTTGAGATGATTTCGGGGCTTTTTAGTGTCCCCGCGGCCCGGTCCTCAACCAGGCCTCCACCCCCAGGAAGCAGCCTGTGACAGCTGACTAACACCCAGGTACCTAACTTACTGCTAGGTAACACGGGCATAGGGTGAAAGAAACTCTGCCCATTGTTTCTCGCCGGCGCCTGGGATCGAACCCAGGACCACAGGATCACAAGTCCCGCGTGCTGTCCGCTCGGCTGACCGGGTAAAAGTCAAAGTGCGACAGAGGCGAGAGTGAGGATGCTGTAAGAACCATGCAAGATAGGGAAGACAGTAGTGATCACGACGGTCCTGGAGAGATAGGAAGCCAGTGTCAGCATACAAGACGAGGGTAGGAGTTGAACGAAAGGCACCGGAGCCGAGGCGCAACCCATTATGGTGCAAAGGATCGAGACAGCGAAAAGTAGAAGAAGCAGAAGAGTATGCAGGGCAACCATAATCGAGTTTAGACAGGACCAGAGAGGAGTGCAAATAGAGAAGCGTGTGCTTATCCGCTCCCCAAGAAGTGTGGGACAAAATCTTAAGTAGGTTAAGGGCCTTAGAGCATTCAACTCGGAGGCAAGAGATATGCGGCGACTAAGACAAACGAGTGTCTATGATTAACCCCAAAAACTCCACGGAATCTTTGTACACAAGGGATGACCATAAAGTGACAAAGAAGGAAGAAGGACGACGTGCTTTAAAGTAAAAGTCATAACACAAGTCTTAGTTGCAGAGAACTTGAAGCCATGATTGGTGGCCCAAGACGACACAGCATCAATCGCAGGTTGAAGCTGCCATTGAAGGAGAGGCGAATCATCACCTCGACAGCAAAGAGTAAGATCGCCGACATAAAGAGAGGAGAAGATGCCAGAAGGAAAGGAGGAAAGAAGACCATTGAGGGCAACCAGAAAAATAGTAGTGCTCAGAACACTATCTTGGGGTACACCTTTGTATTGCCGAAAAGAGGCAGACAGAGAGTGGTACCAAGCCTAACTCGAAAGGAACAACGAGAGAGGAAGCTTTGGAGGAAGAGAGAGAGATTACCACAAAGGCCAAAAAAACGAAGTTGGGACAGAATATGGTATCTCCGGGTTGTCATAAGCCTTTTCCAGGTCAAAAAGGACAGCAACAACGGAGGTCTTCACAGCAAAAGCAGTACGAATATAGACCTCCAAGTTCAACAGGACATCAGTTGTGCTGCGGCACTTGCAAAAACCAAATTGAGAAAGGGAGAGATGGTGATGGTGTTCCAAGAACCACATCAGATGAACATTTACCATATGCTCAAAAAGTTTGCAGACACATCTTGTTAGGGCAATAGGGCAGAAGTCCTTGGGGGATGTCCCGAGAGACCCCGGTTTCCGAATGGGAAGTACAACGGCATCGAGCCAGTCCTCAAGGACTGACGACGACTCCCAGACCTGGTTATACAGACTTGGTAAATACCGAAACGTGCAAGGAGGAAGATGGCGAAGCATCTCATAATGAATGTCATCCGAGCCCGCTGCCGTAGAACTGCAGAAGGCCAGGGCAAACTGAAGTTCAGAGAGAGAGAAGGGATCATTATAGGGAAGGTGGAGATGAGTGAGGAAATCTAAGGGATGAGATTCAAGAACGGGCTTACGAAGAAGGAAGGATTGAGGAAGATGAGAACCAGAGCTAACCAAAGAAAAGTGGAAACCCAGTTCAGTCGCGACCTGCACTGGGTCTGCTACAAGATTACCATGGAGGTGAAGAACCGGCGAGATATCTGGAGGTCAAGCAAGGTTTTTTTTTTTTTTTTTTTTTTTTTAAAGACCTGGTGCATTTCCTCCTAAAACTTGACTGAATCAGTGCTTAGCTTGGGAAGCTACTGTGGAAGCCTTCCCAGAAAGAATGCAAGTATCGAGTAGCTGAGATGATAAGCCACTACAATAGGCAACTTGCATCAGTAATTCTGCCCTTTCCAAAAGTTAAAGGCCTATTTAATGTCATATGATATTTTCCCTGATTTGAACTATTTTGTACTTCAGCCTCAGTTATAATGTTACCACCATGGATTAAGGATGAAGTGTGTAAAAGTATGCATAACACTTTATTTACAAAAAAGGTTATGATCATTTGTATGAACATGGCCCATTCACAGTTCCAGGTAAGCTGCACAGGTGGGAACTTTTGATAAATCACAGAGAAGAACACTGTCAACTCTGAAATTAGTCAATGGTTCAAATCTTGACAAACTAGGTTCTGTTATCTAATTAACCTAAAGCACTGATACTGTGACGTCCAAAAATTAAAAAAAATCTACATTTCAGTAAACACTTTCTTCACAGGACAGTGACATAAAAAACTCTTTACTTAAAATTATAAAATAACTACAGTCATTAAACTGATAAAAATTTACTCATTCATAATTTCACATACAAACTACACAACTTTGGATGTTCACATGATAATGATCAATATAAAATCCTTACAAAACATATTTAAGAGGTCCCTAACACTATATTATAACTATATCTCATGAAATATTTACATCTCTATATGTATGTATGTACGAATTTGGACAGTTAAATATAAACTATAGATTGTATATCCACAATATGGGAACACACTTTGTAGCTTGCATTTACATTCACAGAACAATAAAATGTGCTTGACAATGCTTTAGAGCTACAGGCTAAAGCTTTGCAAACTTTTATTCACTATTTAAAAATAGATGGTATTAACAATATGCCTGCTCAATCATTACCAATTATAAATGCATCTACAGTCCATCTGCCGAAATGCTGTAAAACGACATTTTCAAAGCAGGATTATAGGTAACTGATTTAAGGCCTGTATGTTTAAATTAAACAAGGAAATTTGCAATAACAAGATAAATGCTTGGTCATTATAGTTAAAGCTAAAGTTAGAACTTCACTTATGCCACACAACAATTTAAAAGATAACAATAGTAATAATAAATACTTCATAATGTACTCTTGACTCTCAGATTAGACTGGTAAATTTCATTTACAATGCAATTCCATCAGTAAATACTGACAATCGAGATCTGCATCTATGATACTTGGTATGATACTCTTTAAGTAATATGCTTTGATATGTATTTTACCACAACTTTGATTTTGCTTTCCAAATTCCATTTACATCTATGATAACTCCACACATACAACAGCTGAAAGCTATATAGTATAAATCTCTGAAGCTTAGATTGTGACAACTGGCAGAATCATTTACATTATTTACTCAAGGGTATAAAGTAAAAAAACAAAAACAAAAATGATAAATACATCTGTGAATTTAACACCTATTGGCATTTTCATCTGAAGAGGCTGCTGTTTGAGGTAGAGAGGTGCAAACTGGTCGATTAGAGTCGGCTGTAGACAGATTAATGCTTTCGCCCATTATTTGGTCATCTGTTGAGTTTGTAGTAATGTCTACAGTATAATCAGCTGGTGCATACTCTTTAACACTCCCTCTGCTGTCATCCACTTTATCCCCACTAGTAAACTGTTCATCAATAATAACGCCAGTTTCTTGTTCATCTGCCTCAGTCTCTATACTAATTCCAGTGGTCATACCGGTGATTGTTTTGTCTGGATTTAAATTAGCATTCTCTGCATCAGTCAGAGAGAGTGTCATTAAAGTCTCTCGACAAGTCTCCACCTGCGAGGAAAACAAAGTGGTTATAATAACCTGTTATTTAGAAGTGAGACAATTTTAAGTGCAGTTTTTTTTTTTTTTTAAATTTAGAGGTTACTGTATTTTGAAAATTTTACTTTGATAACAAATTTTAGTATTGGCTAGTTATGATGTGCCACCGAAAATAAAATGCCAAGACTGAACTGCACTGAAAATTTCATATCTATATATTTATTCTGATGCATCATTGAAAAATAGGGTTCATATCAATACATGTGAGATTTTGGAAAGATGTTAGACATTGCAAGCTCTATAAATATGGAAATAAATTTTATATACAAAAAACAAGGTGCAAGATCAGACCTATTATACTAATTTACATCCTTCACCAAAGCCATCTTATACCTCTTCCAAAAATGCAAATTTGTTTCTAAACTTAAAACTAGATAAAATATAGGCTTTGATAAACTTGCAAGAGACTACAGTACACAACTACAAGCATTAAAGGCTTTATACGTATTTTCACTTCATATATATTCGGAAATTTATGTATACCATTTAAAAAATCTTAGAACATAGCATAGACATGCACTATATAAATTATGATAATATATAGTGTTTAATAATACTGTATATATATAATCATTAATTTATCAATGACAGCTGGTGATAAAATTAATTTCTACTGAATACATATGATCAGCTGTGCACTATAGCACAAGAAAATTGTGCACAACATAGTCATAAGTAGTTCATATTTGATTGACAATTACGTTTTTGGTGTGGTGAACACATCAGAAGTAACACCAACTGAATACAGAAAGGTAACAGAATTGTAACCAAAAACATTGGCACAAGACCCTGATTACAGAATACAGTACTAGATATACAGAACCTTGCAACTGCCCTGCTGCAAAATACATGTTGTGTTAAATGTGCTTTAAAATGTGTTTGCCTCTGTAAATGCAAATGTTTATAGTAAATTCTGAAATATTAAAATACAGCATTTTAAATGTTAATGGAAAAAATCACAAATTTGTTGTACTGTTATTCATCAGACATAAATGAGCGATCACAAAACACTGATCATATGTATGTGGAAAATCCACAGACAAATAGGAAAGGAAGATGAACGTTTCGGCTGTTTAAAGCCGTTGTGAACACCAGACTGACGTTCTGGTGTTGACAACAGCTTTAAACAGCTGAAACGTTCATCTTCCTTTCCTATTTCTTTCTGGATTTTCCGCTTACAAATGATCAGCGTTTCGTGATCGTGTATTGAATTATTTATATATTATATATATAATATTGTTTACCTGTCAATTTCAACATTTATAATGATTATTAATTATTCTTTTTTATTGAGGATGGGAGAGGGGGGACATGTAGCCAGTATATATACATGTTATTTTTATATATCTCCCCCCCATCCCCAGGTTGAATTATTGACCCTCCTCAGGATGCAACCCCACAAGAAGCTAACTCCTGGGTACCGATTTACTGCTAGTAAGTGGGAAAGGGGCACTAGGTGATAGGAAACGTGCTCAACCATTGGTGTCCTGTTTGGGATTTGAACCCAAAATTCCCAATTAGGTCAAGAATGAACCCGACTGTATTACTGGGATGCTTTATATTTATATAAATTTATTTTATTACGGTATATTACAAAAATACTGTACTCTATTTGGAACTAAATACTGTTTACCATACAGTATTCCCTTCCCATAAAATAGTGGAGTAACAACATATACTGTACATTATCTGTTAATTTTTGTTAAATACAGTAAGTTTAGATATATGCGCAAAACTTTAGGCTTAAGGTAAATGTTACAAATTTGTTCTGTTTAATAACAACTGTTCTATCTGCATATATTCTATTTGTATCTCCTGTATAAGAAAATGAGGCAAACGAAGTGTCATGCATTGCTTTCACATTCAAATTGTACTGACACAATAAATTTAGTAACAAAAAAAGAATTCTGCACTTTGGGCATATTTATTACAGCATCCACAATGTACACTTATCTAATTCATCAACTGGACATTTTTTTTTATTTTTTTTTTTTTTTTTTGTTTTTACAGTTTGTGAAAAAAAAGACATCATGGGTATGTCAGGGTTATCAACACAGGTATCAATTGATGAAAATCAACTGGTGGGTATATCAAAGGGCAGGAACAAGGCAAAAGGATTTTAAAAGGAGGAAGAAAAGTACAGTAAGAGTGATGAGTGAGAGGTTACTACAGGAGAACAGTGGGCAAGAATAAGGATGCAGGTGACCATGTCAGATCAGGTGCAAGCATGGCAAAAGTGGAACTTAGATTATATACTAATTTATTTACTTTTGTCACTTCAGTATCTAAACAAAATTTGTTATGGAGCATAATATGGCTACTACTGAGGTTATGAAAATTAATAATTAAATATACATTACTGTGCACACACACGCACAACTGACAATCAACATATTGGGAGGCCTACAAAGCAATAATGGAGGACATTCGGACTGGCAGATTTGTGAACCTCCTGGAGACCTTCATGTATCAGCATGTTAAACAGGCCATGATAATGAAGGGGATGCTCCTGCAATGCTGGATTTGGCATTTATCAGGAAAGACAAAGAAGAGGAGACTTCGACATTATGAACCTTCATCCATTTAGTAACAGTGACTATGTCCTTTTAGAAATTAAATATGCAGTATGTTATAATCTAGAAGAAAATGAGGAAAGTGAAACAGCCCAAAAAAAACTTGATTAGTTCTTATAAGTGTCCTCTCATAGCAAGGTTCCTTAATAGATTTGATTGGAACAATTTGTTGTCAGGCAAGTAAACGAGATGCACAATAAAGGCACAAAACATTTATATCAGATGTAAACTAGAAAACAGGTTTGGTTCAATAAAAATTGTGAAGGGGCCAGAGAAGAAAAGACAAAATAGAATTGATACAGGAAAAGGTCCAACCCCATCAAACACAGTAATACGAACAAGCATGAAAACTACACTGCAGCAAGAAGAGGCAGAATGAAACTTTCAGAAAGGTATTATGGACAAATGAAAACAAAACCCAGCCTATTCTATGAACTTGTAAAAAGTTAGTTTCATGTAAAGAATAAAGTTCAGAGGTTAGAAATGTAAACCAAATTCAGAGACTGAAAAAGGAATGTTAAGTTCCAAAGTTGTGACATGATCACTACAAACAAAATAGTAATGTGAATCGACAAAATTTGATGGGAATTCTTGCAACCTGCAACTTCAGGAACAAAAATAAATGATAGTTTTCTTTAGCAAACAGAATGGTAGATAGTTGGAACAAGTTAAGTGAGAAGTCGATGGATACCAAAACCATCAGCAGTTTCAATGTCACAAGACAGAGTGCAGGACAGATAAGACACCACGAGTTTAGTTCTCATCCTGTAACTAACCTCCCCCCCCCTACACACACACACACACACTAATGTATATTTATAGCCTTCCAACTGTAACTGTATAAACTAATTAATAACTTTAATGACCAAATTTGATTCTGAAGTAACAAAAACAGATTTTATATTGTAATTCATATTGTAATTAAAATGCAGATTCCCATTAAGCATGCCCTTCAATATTGACAACTTCAGCATAGTGGTGACATTGAAATGTCAGAGTCGCTGAAGGTGCTGGCGAAGGCCTTATAAGCTGATGAGGCAGAGTCTCCAGCTGTTTTGGTTTACAACTTGGTTGAGTGCGTAACTAGTGTACCACAGATTACATCACATCTCTGTGATTTGATGCACCAAGATGGTCCATGAGAGTACTTCCATAACAACTTTAATTTTCAAGCAGTGCAATGAAGAAAATGAGGCTCACTAGTACTGATTTTAGGATCCTAGGTCCTGTTAAGTGTCAATTGAAGTGTGCCAAGAAGCAGCTACTGAGGGTGATGGGGTGCCCAGCCATCATCACGGTCTACACAACAGGTGAGAAAGAAACACCTGCTTCTACTCCTGCTACCAGTAAGGAAAAGCCAACATGGGCATTGATGGGCACAGGCTCAAGAGAATATACAAGATGTGTTGGCAGCACTTTACCAGTGGTATAAATCATTCCTAAGCAATGGTTTTCACCTCTAAAGGTAAGGGGAGGATATTTTTCCTGTGGTTTCATTTTTAATAAGTAGTCATTTTTAAATAAGACAAAACAAATTGTGTAATTACTAACAGCAGTATATAAAAAGTGAGCCACACTCGTGATGTTCCATCATCATCATCCTAATGTATGGTGTTCTTTCGTGGTTTGTGCATGTACAGTAGGTCTATATTGTGTTTGTGGTTTGTAGATATATTTATAGTGTATGTGCAGGCGATGAGTCACAATAACGTGGCTAAAGTAAGTTGACCAGACCACACACTAGAGGGTGAAGGGACAACGACGTTTTGGTCCGTCCTGGACCATTCTCAAGTCGATTGAGAATGGTCCAGGATGGACCGAAACGCTTTCGTCCCTTCACCTTCTAGTGTGTGGTCTGGTCAACTTATAGTGTATGTGCTTGTGGTTAGTTCATGTATATGTGCATACATGCATGTACAGTTTTTCTTTCAACTTTCAATGATGCACTTTTTTTAATATTCTGTCCAATAATGTAAATGCAAATTTTTAGTAATTATTTTTTACTCAAATGTATACTAATAACTTATATAAAAAATGTATACTGAAATACTTTATTAATAAAAATAACTTGGTTATATGATCGAGTAACATTATTTTTTATTATACTGTAATTACTTTACTGCTAATGCTCACAATGCAAAATGAACCAAACACAAATGCAGTTTGACAGTTATATATTAATCACAATTAAGTATGTGGTATATATAACTACAATACTGTATCTACAATTCCATAAATACCAACATTTATGGAATTATTAGTAAACAAATTCCAAATATCTAGAATTTCCATTAGTATTTAATTTGCAACGAATAAAAGGCAGTTTAGTGACGAAAAGCTTAGCCCACAGATAAATCTCCTCCCCTAACCCTCGAGTAAGATTATCATCAGTCTGTGGGGGGGGGGTCACCTCTCGCTCAATGATGCGCTCAATTGTCTCCGTGGTTTGTACAGTCACATCTCCTGTATCAGGATCCAAAACAGGCACAGTTCTGCGCATCACTTTCTCAAACAGGACACGATCCCTCTCTGCAACGATCTTCTCACTTGGCTCGGTGACCACAATCAGTTTGGACCACTTGCGTTTCAAGCTCTGACCCAAAGTAACAAAGCTGAACAACGTACCTCACAATCTTTAAGCTAATTATCACTTGCTAAGATTGATTACCAAATAAATATTTTAAGTTAATATTTACATTTACTTCTGTATTAAAATGTTTAACTAGATCGAAATCTAAACAGTCATCACCACCATAAAATGTACAGTGCAATATTAAAATGCATTATTAATTAATCCAACTAGTAACAAACATCTTTATAATTTACAATGATATTAAAACACAGACATGTACACACATTTTACACGTAATCACATTTATAAAGACAAAGATATTGATACACATCTTCCTCACTCTAATACTGTTATTTTATTTATATATAATTCTGATAAGCATCAAGATAAAAAAATATTAAAAAACATGAATGCACATGCACACACACGCACAACACAGACACATGCAAAACACATTTTTATTCTACTGACAAGAAGGAAAATTCACTAATTATATTTAACTTTGATATTTAATTTCTGTAAATATGCAATTGCACTACCCCAATAAAGAAGGATGTAACTATATTACAAATTAGAAATAAAAGGCCATATGGCTGGATTGAACCATCATACAGAGGACCTGGAAAGGCAAGCCTTTGAACAAGGATTTGGAGAAATGAGCAACAAATAGAATCCCAGCCCCAATAGAACAAAGATGCAACATGGCCATAGTACAGTGCATAACACCTCTGGAGTTGAAAAACACCCATAACAGTGAAAGAGGGTTTAAATTGACAGAAGACGATAGTGTAGGTAGCAACGAGAAAAGTAAAAGGTGTCAAGCTAGAAAAAATACCAACTACAAAAATCATAAAGAACTGATGTTAAAGAAAAAAAAGTGGAAGGCCTGACCAGCAACCACACAGAGCAGCTGCAAAGAAATCTGCTTAACTTGGCAACAAAAAAAACCATCACCTGACTGTAAATAGGAGGTAGGAGACAATGCCCAGAAACCACATACATAAAGACAGGTAAAAAGATGTAAACCATTGAGGTCAGGCAAGCCAATGAACTTTGAGAAAAGGTGGAGGCTCAGGAGGAGGAGGAGTTGAGAAAACAAGTGAGAAGGGCCATGAACTAAGACTAATCCAGCTAGCCAAACAGGAGTCAGCATACAAGTGTTGCCCACAAAGGGCTGCTAATTAGTCAACATAGGTAGAAGCAGCTGAACCAGAGAAAGGGGAAACAATCCCATCACCTGCAGACCAAGGAAAATGCAATCTATTCAAATGCAGCATGAACCAGAACTGGTAACCAATAGATTGGAAGCTGACACAAACTGGAACTTTGAATCACACCTGCAGGGGAAGATAAGGTAAGGTGATGTTCAGCAGCTCTTACCAAGATGGGAGATAGAGAAAACCACCATATGGAGTAACAAATGCCAGGGATCCTCCTCTGACAACCTCAATATTGTACTTTTGTGACCTTTCTACCCCTCCCCTCAGAGAAAACAAGGACCCAAGAGGAAGCCAACAACTCCTGCAGAGCTCAGGGGATTACTAGAGAACAGACAAAAAAAAGCAGGTATAGTAGCCTAGCCCCCCCCCCCCCCAACATTTCTAGAGGGAGGCAGCCCCTGATGCCAACCCTGCAGCAGACAGAACAGCAACCTCAATTTCAGGTCAAGCTCGGCAAAGCTGCCATCCTCAAAGACACATTCACCTGGTTGTGCATTACATTATTTGAAGTGAAAGGCAATTGCAGTTTGTAGTGAAACAGAAAGATGAGTGACAAACAAAAACAGCTGTAAGATGCACAGAAAGTGGATAATCAACAGAAACAGTGGGATGGCTGATGGTTAAAGAAGCAAATGACCAGTGTGGACTAGGATAAATTGACACCAACAGACCCGTAGTCTGAAACAGTCATGAAATTGAAGCTGGTCAAGGTTGAAATGGCAGAGGAAATCTATTAACATGTAGCATATGAGTTGAAGAAGAAATACACCTAAACTCAAACAGTTGAGGAAGAGATTGGTATCTGCATCACCAGTCACAGTCGGGAGGGAGGTACGAAAGCCTGTATCATAAAGACCGGTTACACAGTGACCACAGCCCGAGAGGTGGCTGCGTGAGAAAGCAGCTCAGCAAAATTCAAAGCCCAGCATAGACAAACGGTACACAGTTGATAGGTGGAAGGACCCCAGAACCCAGAAGGCTGCATGATGGAGGAAATATGAAAAGTCATCTGGATCTAAACACACCTGAGCTCACCTGGAGAATGCAAACCACAGTCAATTATGAAACCAGATGGGGAAGCCATAATAATCCAGCCAAAGATAGATACAAGACATTAACCCTACAGGGATGAGGGACTCTGACCACCTGAATCATCAGAGGTGCAGGTGGACTGAGTGAAGGGAAAGCTGCTTGGCAAAGCACACACTAACTGCACACACTCCGCAAATAAGGGTATAAGCAATACTGAATCATGACAAAACATGCGCATATTTCAAGTGCAGCCTTGGCTAAAGTGAAAGGCCTGTAACACGTACAAGAGTATGGTCAACATGGCAGGCCAGGTTCTTACTGTGCACAAACCCCCACAGTATTTTGTGGAAAATAATATCTTCTCCCCATCAGAAGGCTAGCAGAGAAGAACAAATTTCAAGCACTGCCTGGTGAAGTAACTCAAAAGAAGTCCCTTGTAGAAGAGGCTGCCATCTACCCCCTTCAAAGCAGGTGTGTCTGGTGGGGTCTAAGGCAGTGCAAGCCAATCCTAGGAAAAGTAAACCTGACCATGGCCAGAACAAAACAGGATGCTTGGCCAGACACACACACACTGTGGGTGGCATAAACACACATGAAGCTTAAATTAGGACAAAGCAATGGTTCATAGCAGAACTAATGTTTCAGGGAAAAGCCAGCACCACTTAGCTAGCTGAGAACAAAAAGTAAATATCAAATGAAGGTACCAAGCCCAGAAGAATATACATTACAGCACCGTGTCACACAATATTAAAATATTCTCTGATATCATTCAGGATGCTAATGTGAGTCATGTCAGAGGATTCAAATTCACCAAGGACTTTTACCGAGGGACTAAAAGAAACAAAAGGGGAGCAAAGTTTGATTGTGAAATGAGGACATTCTACAAAGATTTATGTATGTGAGAAGGGCCTAGCAGAGGCTACAGATATTAGACAAGGTACACCAGACTTGAGAGTGAGGGTGCAGCATGGCTGGGACCACAAGTGACATGGGCTACCATCTGGTTACAGTTAGGGTATTTGTCCCATGGCAACGACAACCACCAGAATTGCAGCAAAAGAATACATTTCACGATACTTCTTTAAGGCTGTGCCAGTAACAGAATTATATGTAACAGAACAAAGACAGTGTTACGTGTGCAAGCACACAAAGTTGCCAACAAAAATTTAAAAATTTGGGGTTCATGATACAAGAAGTGTGAGGTGTGTGATTCAGAGAGTACCACATATTGAAAAAATTCTAAAATATAAAACAGAACTGAAACATTGTAAATAGTGTTCATACTATATTGTAGGCCTATATGGTATGTGTTTATCAGTAGTAAAGAACTCACTGTTTTCGTCTATTATGTGTACATGAATTAAGTTATTCAACACAAAACACACTACAATACTGTGTAAACTAATAAGTGACTCAACAAAAACACATAAGGGAACATCTGATTCAACTTGTCCACTCTGTTGTGGCAGCAAACCTAGTTTCTGGCCTCAGAAGGTACCACCTCACCCCACCATCCAGCTACCTTCTACACCTTACAAACCCAGAAAAAAAAGAGGGAAATATTTACTTCTTTCCTCCCTACTCTTTGCATGAAAATGTATCATTTTATAATACAAAATTTACTTGGGAGGGGCGGGGGGATGAAAATTTGATAATAGCCCATTTTAAGGATTAACTAATACTTCTGATGCCACATTACCTTTAATAAACTTGTTATACTTTATTTTATACAATGCACATAAATGTAAACACGTTAAGAAATATTATCATAACCACATTTTGTAAGTAGCACTAATACCACATTACAAAGTTGATTTTCCAACATTTTCTGCTAATAAATTTGGCAAAATTTGGTTGCATAAATAACAAGTTGTTCCTTACCAATACTCTTAAAATTTGCTTAGTACCCAACCAGAGATCTTGACTTACCTACCAGAAAATATTTATGGGTCAACAGTAGTCAAACCGAATTAAGAGTCCCATAAGAGGCAAAATGAGATGGGATGAGTTTAGGGTATTTACTATTTCTTATCTGGATATTCATCACTCACTTTAGTCAAGCTAGTGAGAATGTAAAATACTACTGAAGCTAGTTTCAACTTGTTACAAATTTGATCCTGCTGCCTCAGTAAAATAAATATATAAATATATATATATATATATGTAAAGACTACTGAACTGTCAGCTTAGTGCTATAACCACTATACAGTGCACAAAAGGCAAATAAAGTGAATATAAAAACTTGAGCAAGCAATGCAAAAAAAAAAAAAACATTAAGTGAAACTCAACCACTTCAATTGTTATTCAAGCAATTTGAAACATGCTGTATGTCAACTCTTGCTCAAACAGAACCAAATCCATCAAATGCAAATCTGGATGCAACAATAGAATTACATTCCACTTGTAATGCTTCAGTAGATCATATGCAAAGAAAAACAATGGTTTCAGTTCCAGTTGAACACACTTGATATTCACTGGACCAAAATCCATTGCTAAATTTTTTGCTTTTGTTTTTAAATAAGAATTTTGTATTTCAAAATTATTTTGACCTGGTTTTGCATACATTTTTATCATTTACACTAATAAAATCAATAATTTGGGCCAATAAATACTATAGCAAAGAATATTTTTGATTGGATACAACAGAAGACTGGATATCATGAAAGGGGGTCCAGAATGAATTGTTTCATTCGATTGGGGGTTTCATTCGATTAGATGATCATAAAATGTGGATCAGTATCTACATTCACTTACTGTATTTAAACACGA